CTACTTATCTTTTTGAACGTAACTTAGCAGCGATATCTTTATAATATTGTTATTTTCAGCTGTTTCAATTCTTGGATAATAACATTTCGTCACTTATCTTTTGCTCAGAGCTTCGCTTCGAGAACCCTTTGCTACCTTTATAACATACTTCTTAAAAATTTAGATTAATTTTATTTTCTACGAACTTTGGTCTTTTCGCGATTAAAAAACGTATAATCGTTATGAGAGGAAAGTACGATATTCAAATATCTTTTTTTGGTACTTAATCGCTGGTAGTCAATATAGGTAGAAAATATCAGTAGCGTGTTAAATAATACTAAGTCACCCACGCCACAAGAAGCCCCTTCACGCTCCACTGTGATATCGATAACATTATGAAAAACATAGATTTCTTGAAATTAATCGCGTGCCATCTCTACTGTGCGTTGATGGTACTATGACACCTTCTCTGAAGTGCCAATAAAAACTGTACTAAGTTTCATCAGAAACAGCTAAATATCTTAGGAACGCATTTTTTTGATTTTAATGATAGAAGTGGACGTGGAAAAGTCATACCTTCTTCATATAATTTTCATCAACTGTGTGATTTAATTTCATCACATTTTTTTCATTTTTAAGTAGTGATAAATTGGCTCGAGAGCTATTTTTCACGCAGTTCCGTAATTACTTTAACTAGTCTGGCCATAAATACTGTTACATAAAAAGTTTTTTTTTTTCAACTTTTTTCATTTTTTTTATTATTTTTAATTTGGAACACATATTAATTAGTTTAAAAACTTCTTTCGGTTTTGCGTCATTTCACATATTTTTTCGTAGTCATTATCAAATTACAATATTATTATGGAATGGGGTGTCAAAGATGATAGGATTGCAGTAATCGCCTTGCAACAAAGTGGGTATAGAGCTGTCAGTCATATTCCATACACTACAAAAGCTTGGTATCAGCCGTATGTTCGTATATCGTACTATCAACAGATACATAGCAACACTTCGTCTGTCAAAGACTAGAAAAGATCAGGGCGCCCGCGTGCTATTAGAACTACAAATGTTGTTGCAAATGCCGTTAAAGCCAGAAGCAAAAATCTTACTGCGAGGAATGAAGATTCCCGCTAAGACTGTCGCGTATTATAAGACAAGACCTGAAGCTCGGTGCTTATTGTCGTTATACAGGACATGCCTTAAATCAATCTTTACAATTAAAAAGAGTGGATCGATCAAAACGCCTTCTGTCGCGATATGCAGGTGAAAGGCACAGAAATATCCTCTTTACCGATGAAAAATCTTTCACGATTGAAGAACACTACAATAAGCAAAATGATAAAGTGTACGCTCACAATTCTAAAGAAGCTACTCAAGTAGTTGGAATGGTACAACGTGGTCATCTTCCTGCTTCAGTGATGGTTCGGTGAGGCGTGTCTTATCAAGGAGTCACAAAACTACATTTTTGTGAAAAAGGAGTAAGAAGTTCAGGCAAGGTGAATCAAGATACAGATTTGGGTCATGTTGTGAAACCTCTCAGCTATACACTTTTTAAAATATATATCGTGGTCTTTCCAGCAGGACTCTGCACCGGTCACAAGGCACTAACAATCCAAGCCTGGCTTGAAACCAACGTTCCGGACTTTTTAAGAGCTGAAGACTGGCCTTCATCTAGCCCGAACCTCAAACCCTTAGACTTCAAATTATGGTCAACTTTAGAGGACATGGTCTGCTCTAAATGACACGGTGACATTGAGTCTCTTAAGAAATCTTTGGAGCAAGCAGTGGGGAAATTTCCCTTGGAAACAGTGCGTAGATCCATAGATTCGTGGCCAAACAGATTAAAGGCCGAGACTTTGGTTAAATATGTAGGTATAATTTTTTATATTATTACATTACTTCATTTAAAAAAAAATGCATTTTCATTTGTAACATAACTTATGGCTGGACAAGGAAGTATATCTTTCATTTGTTAAAGAAAATTGTACCAAAAAATGCAGTATTTTGGCATGGGCCATCACCATTACCATCAAATCTGATGCTGCCTTTACGTACTTAAAAACCTTGAATATATATTAAGTAAAAGAAAGTAGACTAAGTAAAGTAAATACCAGACGTCCTTAGTTGATTACTAGAGTAGTTTACACTACCTGTGAGTTCACGGAGACGTTGTTGTTGATCAAATGATCGCCGGAAATAAACGGAAGTGAGCGACGCCGGATCGCGTCAACGACTGGTTTAGATGAAATCGTTCTAGTAATTTGTACGCTTGATCTGTATTTACTGCTTTATCTTTTATTTATTTTTCACTTTAGATTGCTCACAGCTTATTTGAACCCTTGAGACATGTCGTAATGGTCTCCTGTACTATACGATTTTTTCCCCTACTTATTCGCTGGTAGCTTAAGAGGATATTCCAACGACGGCCGGACGGGTAGGTGAGCTCACGGGCTCAACCTGAGAGAATTTACTAACACTTGCAAGAGCAGTGCTTTGCAGAATGTACTACCGGATCGGAATAGCGACCCACTGAGGAGATCCGGCGAGAACTCAGTGGACTCTCTCTATGGGTTAATTGGAAGACGGTGACCGGTTCTTGAGGGTCTTAAAAACACCCAGAGTGAATCCGGGCAATCTGACAAGACACATTTCGGGCGACGACGGTTTTGCGTTGCCCCGTCGAGGTCGTATAAGTAATATGTATAGGTATACAATGTCTGTTCTACTCATCAAACCATAGAGCATGTCTGCTTCTTTGCAGAAACATATAGTTTGAGGATTACGTTATACTTTAAGTCTGTTTGTTTATGAATTTCTAACTTGTTAAATTGTGTATACAGTTGTCATAACTTTGTTTTTACTAATTTTCCAAATTGTCATTTCATAGTTCAGTCATTGTACCGGAAAATGTTCTTTAGATTGCGGCGTCAGTTCCTTTGATCCATAACATTTCAGATTGTTATAATACTCAATAAATTCACGGATAGTATCGATTTATTATCGGTAATTGCTTAATGATATCACAACGGTAATTCCGACTACGCTTACGGTCTACGATTTTCCGGAACGGAGACGGAAAATTATATCGGAACGAATAACGAATGACGAAATCGGTAATTTATTTTGATTTGTCGTCGATGGACACTGTGAAATCGGCATTGTGAATTGTGAGAGGCGAGGAGAATGCTTTATATACGGGCACGCTTCGAAGTTGCGCGTGCGCCGAGGCTCGTGATCGAACAAGTCTTCAGACTGCATTGTTTTGCTGTGTGGAAAGTGGAACAAGGATGTCAATACATATCTATATCTCTGTACAGAGAGTGACTGAGAGAGAGAGAGAGAGAGAGAGAGAGAGAGAGAGAAAATACACTTTATTAACTAACTAACAACAAACATTTTAAAAAAACAGTCAACAAGCAGATACAGTTGTACAATAGGCGGTCTTATCGCTAAAAGCGATCTTAATTTACAGAAATTCTGGTTAAGATAGAGATATAGCAGGTATATTGCGGTGTACTATTGGAAATATATTATTATAGAAAAACAAAATAGATAAATAGATATATACCGATTACATATAATATGAAATGACTATTTGACATATACTGGCTCATAGGGCAAGACATCTCTTTTTCTAATGCAAACAAGGCTTCGAACTTATGTATCAAAGTAGATAGCGGCATTCGTGAAATTTCATTGAGCTCAACATTACGGTCCATCTGCTCACGAGTAATTACCGGAGCCCATATACATCATAACTTGAATACCGCCAACCACCTTAAGAAATGAGGTTTAAGTCTTAATCGTAAAGCACGCATGGCAAAATTAGGCGCCACTAATACCTGTGGCAATAACTAATTCAGAACTTAGATCCAAGTATTACTGTTTGTAAATTTGTTAAGCACAATATATTACTATATTTCGATTTAAAGACTACGGTCGGATAATGGTGAATTGTAAAGTTTATGAAACATGATTGAAGTATAGGAAGACAAATACCGCCCCGAGCGAGCTAAGCATGTCGGTGTGTGGGCGATTGGAACGTATTTATGCACAAATTTATTGTATTGATCCTTTTACAGAGCGATAACTAAAAATGGTTAATATCTAATATTGTATCTGATGATAGTAAGGCTCATAATCTTTCTTACTGTGGTCATGAACTTAAATTAGAACTTAAATTAAGAGTTCATAGTTTTTTTTTTCCTACCTATACTGAAAGCCTTGAGAGGCTATTTCAGCTTCACTGTAACGTGTGTAGGTGAGCGCACGGGGCTCAAACCGGAGTGTTGCTAACACTGACTCTAGCAAGAGCAGTAACTTCGCAGAATCTACCACCGAATCGGAAACGCGACCCACTGAGAAGATCCGGCGAGAAACTTAGTAGGCTGGGAGAGTTCATAGTAGTTTGGCAATAAAATCTTTATTCGAAGGTAAAAATAGTTCCCGCCAACTATGTGTTCAAGTCTCTATTGAATATATTGCATTTTTCCGTACACGAGTAGGTATGTTATTGATATCACCATGCATTGTTTCGAAATGTTCACAGATTGTCAGATCTTACTTTCCTAACGATAATAATTATCCGACGAGATGTCGAAAGTTTAAGGTATAATTGAAAAAGCTAATCAAAAGAATTACAATTTCACACTAAGTATATTTAAATGCAGTATTAGTTTTGATTTGATAAAGGCTGTATTTGACTAGTTTTAGGCTTTGATTAGTTTTATTGTACTCACAAAATTATATATATAAACAGTAAAAACAGATAATATTAGATATTAGGACTTCATTCACAATTAATATAATTCAGATTAACTTTTTATAAAGATGATTTAGTTAACATATTTGGAGATAAAGTACATTTATTATTGATTGTTATACCGTTACATCTGTTCAAATTCTCATTGTGAAATGACGAATTATACGTCTCTACTTGATTTTGTTAAATTATTGTATCTATTGCAGTTTTATATGACGTTAGAATATAAATAGATAAATATATAAGAAATAGTACTTACTAAGATCTTCATGTCCTTGTGATCCGTGGACACGGGGTCGATACTAACCTGAAAATAAACGTAAATTAATAATACCACCAAAATACGATGTATTATAATATAAGTAAACCCTTATACTAATATTTTAATTAATGTTTGTCTCATCTGAATCAAGCCAAAGAAGCTTAAAAAATTTGTAAATAAAAATAAAAAATACACCGATCAACACCTAAAATTTAAGGACGAAAATCAGTACTAAATATGCTCCTCTAATTTAATACAGATCTTCTGTACAAATTTAAATGGAACATTTACTAAAAAGTATAGTTTTGAAGGACACAAAATTTGTATAATACAATAATCAATGTATATGTTTAAAAAAGTGTAATTTTATTATTGCGGAAAATAAATAATCAATTTGTGACGTGACGTCGCTGGTCATCTAAGCTATTATGAAAATATATCTGATATAGTTAAATGTTTAAAAAACAAAGAAATGTTAATTTCATTATAATCTTATTTAAGTTCTAGAATAAAGACCTTAGCTAGGTTAGTGGTAGGCAGCGGCTTGGCTCTGCCCCTCGCATTGCTGAAGTCCATGGGCGACGGTAACCACTCACCATCAGGTGGGCCGTATGCTCGTCTGTCTACAAGGGCAATAAAAAAAAACAAAAGAAAAACAACAAAAAAAAAAAAATTAGATGTATCTTTCTATATCTATCTTTATTGGTTTGTGCATTGGTGAACGACAACCAAAGTTATTACCTGATCATCATGACAGTAAAAATAATAAAATCACGCATCAGTACAGCTAGCCAGTTTTATTCCAGTGGGAACGCGTGATATTCTCGCAATAGAATTAGGTAAGATCATTCGTTATCATTCTTGCGAGCTTGCAAGATACCCTACGACTAATTATTAAGATAGGAATGAGAGCTTTAGTAGTAGAAGAATTGGGTAAGAAATACGTTTAGATATTCATGATTGATTATGTAGCATGGTAGTTAGCAATCCTAACTGCTCGAATAAGGGTCGTGGGCTCGATTTCCACACCAGAAAAAAAAACGTGTGCGAACCGGCTTGTTGGCTGTTTGTCTGATTCTTTAATATCTTTATACATGTAAATATTAAATACATATAGGCATTCGTACAAAAGTTTTTTTTATTGCTTATATGGGTAGAGGAGCTCACAGCCCACCTGATGTTAAGTGGTTACTGAAGCCCATAGACATCTACAACGTAAATAAACCCACCTTGAGATATAAGTTCTAAGGTCTCAGTATAGTTACAACGGCTGCCCCACCCTTCAAACCGAAATGCATTATTGCTTCACGGCAGAAATACGCAGGGTGGTGGTACCTACTCGTGCGGACTCACAAGAGTTGCTATATAATATATACATATATCAATTTATTCGCCAGAGGAACCTGATTTGGGCAGATTTATTTCATTGACGAGTGAACAAGCTCATGGTACATCTTGTGTTAAATAGTTACCGGAACGTCACTACGTGAACGCCGTCACTCAGTTGTGTTTGTCCCACGCTTCAAGCCGAAACGTATGACTGCTTCATGGCAGAAATAGGCAGGATATTGTTGCTTGTCCGTGCGAGCTTGTAATAAGCCAGCGGGGCATACCAGTAAATGCCTGGTATAATACTTAGGAAACGTTGGTGCCCATTCTTCGCCTAGTCGCGTTTTTAGACACCTACGGGAAGAGATGAGGTGGTGCCCTTCCGAGTTGTCACCATGCAGTCAAGTCCGATATTTTGGAAGTTGTTTGTGAAAATATATACGCAATTCTTTAGAAAATGTTGTTCCTACCTGCGAAAATTGAACACTGTCATATTTTCATAGCTTCGTACGACTAGGTATATGAAGTGGAACATGAAAGAGTGTTTTATCCTTTAGGCCATGACGACTTGCGTAGTAAAAAAAATGATTGAAATTTTCGAAAAATTTGTTTTCAATCTTAGTAAATAAAAAAAATCAAGCGACTATTTTCCGAATAGTTGTATCTGAATTAAAAGTAAAACATTGCCATAACTAATTATCGCCAACTTGCGGAGGTTTATCTTTAAGTTTTTTTTTTGAATGCATATAATGGACTTTCATTTGAAGTTTAGGCTTCAAAATAATATTTTAATAACAAGAAGACTAGTTTAATGGTCTAAGCAAAAGAAAAAAAAAGACGATTTCACCATCAGTCAACACAGTAAAAAAGGCAAACTAATTAGAGATACCCTTAAACGTAACATCATAAGTCGGGATACACACGAGCGAATTTAATTTGGAGCTTTTTTAATTACGGCAGGATTCGACCGAGCGGCTGGTTTCGGCGCCGAGCGGGGCCCAGCCCTGTAATTATGGGCCCCGTAATTGCGAGACCCAACTGAGTGTACCCCCGCCCGACCCCGCACTTCGCCTAGCATCGGATAGAAAGCGCGTTGAAAATTGAATAATTACTTTTAGTTTTTAACACGATAAGTAAAATATTACAAAGGCTACATAATGAAATATGTATGTGTATTATTTATTCTTAACACAGTATTTTGCGAGACGTAATTAGCTTTTATATGAACGAAGTTAGAAAATTCAAAACTGAATTAAAAATATTCGCTTCATTTCTGTAGTGCTTAGGTTACGGGAAGATGCAAAGAAGATTCAGCTTTTTTCGTCGGATTCATCGTAGTTTTTTTTATCCTACCTATGCTTATAGCCTTGAGAGGCTATATTAGCGTTACCCTAGCGTGTAGGTGAGCTCTCGGGGCTCAAACCGGAGGTGTTGGTAACATTGGCCCTAGCAAGAGCAGTGCTTCGCAGAATCTACCACCGGATCGGAAACGCGACCCACTGAGAAGATCCGGCGAGAAAATCAGTGGGCTGTGTCTATGGGTTAATTTATTTGCCGAGCCCTTCGTCGCAAGCGACGGGCTCGACGAGGACGGTGACCAGGGAAAATTATACTTCTGCACTTCACTAATAAGGTCTGGTAATGAACTTGACTGGTCGCAATAGTAGTGTGGAATGCTAAACGTAAAAATTGAGGTAACTAAGAGCACTGTTAATGGATCGGGAGTAGCACTGCTCTTGTTAGGGCAGATGTTAGCAAATTCTCCACAGACACAGCCTACTGAGTTTTTCGCCGGATCTTCTCAGTGAGTCGCGTTTTCGATCCGGTGGTAGATTCTGCGAAGCACTGCTCTTGCTAGGGCTAGTGCTAGCAACGTCCTTAAGTTAGAGCCCCGTGAGCTCAGCCACTCGCTCGGTTACGCGGGCATAGCCCCTAAAGCCTACCAGCTTAGGTAGGATAAAATAAGCAAATTCTTTCAGGCTAAGCCCTCTGACCACCCACCAGCCAAGGTGAAGCCTGTCAAGAATACTGGCAGCTAGATAGGTAAAAAGCAGCCCGCAAACAAAGGGAATGCTGTAGCTCACCTTGAAACAAGAGATCAAAGCCTCCATTTTGGCTATAACGCGTGAAAAGCATGCTATGCGGCAAAATAGGGATAATTTGATATATTTCTAATATACATAATGCAATGAGTTCAATCCATAAAGTAAGAACTGTAATTAATATGATAGAAGTCGCGAAAAACTGCAGTTTTCTAAATTTTAATTATTTATTATTGAATAACTGAAATTTATTAGAATGATTATTACTATACCCCAAAACTATTAGCTAAATGAAGTAATAAAAACAAAAAATATACAGAGGTATAATATTCAACGCTTTAACCTTTACAATTATTTAGTTTATCTCTGCGGTTACTCGAGGATTAATATCGCGAACATATGAAACATAGGCGGGATATTATATGGCATTTACTACCAAATAAAATCGCACAAACTGAAGACTGTATTTTTTTATAAAACCCGTCAATTAGATAGCTTACATACGTAACATAATACGTTAATATTGAAAATTACACGAATACCAAAAGATACGATTATATTTTTGCAGGTATTTATTTCTATTAAGATACCATTTTAAACGGTTATTTCGCGTGAAAGGAAACAGTTTTTGTTGGTCTCTAGGTACGTACGCACATTGTAATCATCATTTCCATTCATCTGTTCAATGACTCCAGAAATATTGAAACCTTTAAAGGATTGAAGTTAATTGCGATGACTGGCTTATGTCGGAAAAAATATTTTATCTTTGCATTATAATAATTATAGAGGCACGATCAATGACTAATGTGTAAGAACGATTTCGGTTTTGGAATGATGTTTTAAAATTTGATTGTTGAATTCTGATGAAATTTGACCTGAAGCAACTGTCGATGTAAATCATAAATACATATCGACGCTTGAAAGGCAAACGTGACTAAGCGACAATGCGTGAACTTTACAGTAGACTAATTTAAAGTTGAAATACCTGAAAAAATATATATTTTAACGAATCTAGCTGTAGGATTGAAATGATTTTAATAGACCTAGAAATATATATTTTATTGCGCGTCGAATATGGTTATTGCCTATCATTTATGTACAAAGCAGTTATTTTCGCTTAGTCATGTTTGCGTTTCAAGCGTCGATATGATAACGATGAAATAATACGCGGAGTTGCACTTTGATTAAAAAAAAAAACTTTAAATTCCATTTTTTTAAATCTACAATTATCTGGATTTACTTTTTATTTCGATAGAATAATTGCTATAGAAACTACTAGCTAATCTGTTCTATGAATCTCCTGAACTTCGAAATACAATTTGTCTATAATCCATAAAAAGCTACAAACACTTAAAAGTGCAATAAATAGTGAAATGAAAACATGAAAAGAATGGTTGACAATAGAAGAAAGGCTTCGCACGGTTCTATTGGGCCGTCAGTGATCGCGGTATGACGCATGACGGAGCCGCATGAGGTGTTTGTGTGTCGTAATCACGCCAATTAAATATTTTTATTCCATTCCTGCCTTTGTTCGATGTTGAGTTGCCTTTCTGCGTTCATTTTTCTTTAATTTTTTTTTTGTTTTGTGCTTCTTTTGTTACTTTAACTTTCGTATATCAGGGAATTCGATTCTTGTTATTCTCAAATGTTATAATGCTAATCAGTTGTTATGTTAATTTATTATTCATTGTTGTTCTTTTGTGTGTGTGTGTTTTATTAATACTTAATAAGTAGCTTGTATTTTGGGGGAAAGAAATTAGAGGGCTTTCAGCTAGTGTATCGCTAATCTCATTGAGAATTGAAAGTAATTAAGTTGAAGAATGAGTCCTTACTTTTATTACAAAAAATTATGTGTTTCGTGTGGTTATATTTTGTTGAATTACGATGTATGTTGAAGTGCATTCAACACAGTATATTTAAATACACACCAAACACAGAGGCAGGACAAACAGTTAAACAATATAATACGAGATATTTTTCTTCTTTCTAGATATTTCTTCTTCGAGATATTTTTCTTCCGTTTCAAATTAAACAACAAAATAAATTAATAATAATTGCGAAAACATTAATTACCTCGTTGAAGTAACCGTTATTAACATGGTGGGGGACCGGGTGCGGGCCCCCGTGCTGCTGATAATACGCGCAGTTCATCTCAGCCCATGTGAGAATTCTTATTCCTCCTGATCACCGTAACACATCACACGCGACCACAACACAGCGTTAAATCGAGAAGTATCTCGATTACACTCGATAAGTAAATCTCGCTGTGAGCCAATCTCGGTAGTTAATTGCGGGGTCCGGGTCCTATCGAGTCCGCGGCGCGAGTGCAGTACGGTACGCGTCTGTCTCGCCTCTGCCGCGTGGTGGCGCTGCCTGCTATTTGTTTACGGACGGGGCGGCGTTACTGGCACAGGGCGGCTTCTGAGGGCGGGCTCACGAAAAACTGATAGTACTATCATATATTTATTACTTTATATAGAATGTAAGTTTTCCGAGAAGACTATCTAATCTACGAATATTTACTCACACAACATTTCGTTTTCTTTGGAATGCTAAATTCAATATTTAAATGTCCACATATCGTCGCTGTCAAATCAAAATCTGCTTGCTATGTGCAGACACTCTATTTTGAATTAACGAGTAAAAACATTTTCGTATAAAATTTTATATGAAGGTGACTTTTTAAGAAACTATAGATAAATATTAAAGCTATAGACACATAACAGTATTTTTTATACGGTAGATAGGGCTGTGAACTATACGAAAAGGTCAAAATGTAAAAATCTCAAAAAGTACACATAGCAGATTTTGGTTTGACAACGATGATATAACTAACTATATAGAAATAATATAACTATATGAGGAGTGCTATTCGAAAAACCTTGGCCATTCCTAATCTATCTGTATAAACAAACACAATTTGTTTGTCCTTTATAGTATATTCATACGACCATGATGAAACTTAGTACAATTGTTGTTGGAAAAGGATTCTGTCATAGTACCATCAATGCGCAGAAAAGATGGCACATACAAATCGATAGACTTAGCGGACTTTGACTATGAACGGATTTCACATATATTTAAAAAAATATATATATATTTGTGAATTCAACTTTTAACAATGTTGGCCGGAAAATTGACAAAAAAAATCTTTAAGTAACGCGTCACTAATTTCTCGTTAGTTTAAATAAATCAAAAATTTCCTCTCCCAATTATCGCGAGCAATAAACATTTCCGTTTTCTAATAATAATATAAAAAAAAAAACATTTGTATTAATATCCCAAAGAGCTATTATAAAAATTGGTCCATTTTTTACCGTCGCCGATTACTTAGAGGGCGGATACTACTCATATGACAGGATATATTTTTTCACGAGTCGTATCACGCGAAATCTGTTCATATGACGCTTTAACAGCTGTTGCGTTACAAATAAACGTAATTGTTACTTATTTTCTTTTCATTCATTTGTTTTGTGCATGAATCTGTTACTCTGTAGGTATCTAGATTAAAGAGCGCGAGTTAAATTTATAGTATCAAAAATATACTCGTAAAAAAGCTTATTGTACACGTATTCGCGTATCTGTGGTGAATTTGCAGGTTATTAGTAACACATTAGTTACTAATAACCTGATTTTTTTTCCTTATGCTGATAGCCTTGAGAGGCTATTACAGCTTCACACTAACATGTAGGTGAGCTCACGGGGCTCAAACCGGAAGTGTTGCTAACACTAGCCCTAGCAAGAGTAGTGCTTCGCAGAATCTACCACTGGATCGGAAACGCGACCCACTGAGAAGATACGGCGAGAAACTCAGTAGGCTGTGTCTATGGGTTAAAAATAACCTGAGATTTCGAGGCTACGTTTACGAGATAAGATGTGTTATTCAGATAGGTAAGAATTACAATTTAGAAGTTAAATTCCTTTGCCATCGTTGTGATATGAAACTTGATGACACGAAAAAGCAAAATTAAGAGGAGACACATATATAATTATAGGATTTAGTCTACGAGAGAATATAAGAATACTTTTAAGGATTTCACTTTTATCGTCTTTGAATTGGAATAGCTTTATTTTATTTAAGGCGCTAAATATGCGGTTGACGTCACAGCCGAAGTGTCGTTTCTAGCCTTTAGATATGAAGTTGAAATCTCAATAGTGTATATATGTGCTATTTTATGTTTGAAACCGGAATGCATTTCTGTTCTTTGGGAGAAATGTCTAAGATAAACGTGATCGATCTGTCTATCCGTGCAGGCTAACAATGCTTACTTCCACATGTAAAGTGGTGTGTTTGTCCTCCGACAACCACTCAGTAATAGGCGAGTCCGCCGCTTATCTGGCCATTTACGGCAGGAAAATCTAATACCAACTTACAATGATACAACAAAGAAAATGTTAACGAACCTTTATAAACCGAAAATGTTATTACAATTTTGTTTAATTCTTAATTCAAATTAACCTTTTTTTTTGCGGAACTGTACTCATGTGAATATTACAGTAAAAGCTACTGACTCGCGCTTCCTTCATTCGCGTTTTTATTACTATTCGCGGACTAAAAAAACGCTATACAATTCCTATGTTCACGGCTAAATATTTATTTATTCGCGGATCTAATCGTAACATCGGTACATACACATTGATTAAAAGGATTCCAATATGTAGGTACCTATCCAACCGAATATCCTTTTTAAACGCGCTTTCCATATTCACGATTTCACCAGCTTTTACAGTACACTAAAAGACCAAAAAAAATACTAATACAGTTAGTAAAATTTATTGAAAACTCTAATCAATTGAGTTGGATTATGCAAAACATACTCATGCTCTCTTCTGCGCCTACGGTGTCACAAAGCGCCTCAAGAGATGTCACTGCTGATAGGGCGAGTGTTTTGTACTGGATATACAATAACATGCGCAAATGATAGTTATTAGAGCGACCGTCGAGGCGCGTGCGATCGTAATTATTGTAATCTCGGTGCGCACGCTGAGTTCTGTGCAACTGTTCTCTTTCCTTACTGTTGGCTCTATTGTGCATTAACACATTTTCTGCCTCTCCCAGCTGAGACTTTGCTTGCCCACCTATCCTAGTGAAACTGGAAAGGCTTACCTTACTCAAATATGGGCTGAAGCCTTAGAGATCAAGGGCGAGCTGTGAGCGTTGATATCATGAAGACCTTCGACAGGATCTACCAGCTTACAGGATCGTTAGCGATCGTTATTATCATAATCTTTAGTCGGTAAAAGTAATAAGCAAATGTAATAATAAATAAAACTTTTTTGTTTGAACAAGCATTGATTTGTCGATGATCAAAGTAAAATATAGTCACGGAATATATCTACATGAATTAATTGTAGCTATACGATTTGTATACTATTGTAATTTTAGTTTAAAGTTTGAACACATTCTACTTATACAATGGGCTGTTTTGTTAGTTCTTTTTTTTTCAAAATCTCTATACAATTACTTACAGTGCCCACATTACAGTCGCGTGCGCACATGGCGGGGTGGGTCTCGCGCCGCCCATCGTCCGCCCAAACCTACTGTACTTCACAGATCGAGTTGCAATCGCGAAATAACTATAATTACAGTTCGTATTGTGTTTCGGAGATTTGATTCTTAGTTAGTAACTTTATGATTGAATATTACTATAGGGTCGCGATTTTCACGCTACCGTTTGTGTTACAATATTCATAGTTGAAAATGACGTAGATTTTTTTATATTTATTGTTACCGTTAAAAATCTACTATCATACAGATTCAAAACGATAAGTTGATTGGACTCTGGACAGTATTCTTATTTAAATTAAAGATTACAAAATACATTTTGAATTTTTTTATATAAACAACTGACATCATGCTGACACAAAATTAAGGAGACTGACGTTTTTCAATAGACATTTCATATGGTCTACGATTGCTTATCTATAGTCTCTCGGTATTGAATTTATTATGTAGCGCCACGTTGTAGAAATTAATATGTTTTTATTAGCTAATTAGTTTTCAAATACTATAATATGTTATTTGTTAGATTATAAGATAAAACCTGTATTAACCTATTTGTGTGAACTGATTAAGTTCAGAATTGCACGCACACGAATTTTTATCACATAATCAATGTGTACTAAAATATTTTGAAGTCGTCGTGGTTTAAAGGACAAGACGTCCGGTGCATTCGTATGTAGCGATGCACCGGTGTTCGAATCCCGCAGGCGGGTACCAATTTATCTAATGAAATACGTACTTAACAAATGTTCACGATTGACTTCCATGGTGAAGGAATAAAATCGTGTTATAAAAATCAAACCCGCAAAAAAAAAAAATTGCGTAATTACTGGTGGTAGGACGTCTTGTGAGTCCGCACGGGTAGGTACCACCACCCCGCCTATTTCTGCCGTGAAGCAGTAATGCGTTTCGATTTGAAAGATGGGGCAGCCGTTGTAACTATACTGAGACCTTAGAACTTATATCTCAAGAAGGGTAGCGCATTTGCGTCGTAGACGTCTATGGGCTCCAGTAACACCAGGTGGGCTGTGAGCTCACCCACCCATCTAAGCAAAAAAAAAAAACACGTTTGTATAGTTAAATAATTTAAAAATTTATTTTTGAAACAGGAATAATTTAATAATTCTTCCCTTCAAAAAATTTCTTCAGTTATGTTCGAATACAATCTAATAATATTAGCACGCATACAACCCTATCACTGAATTGGTGCAGAGCTATAGTCCGCACAAGGGGTGCCAGTTATCCGTTTGAAATCTCACACCAACTTCCGTTGCATTCTACTTATACAAGAAACGGTCTGGATTGCAGCTATTCTTGTTACAACGACTTGCTTGAGTGTGGGTTACTGAAATGGGATTTTATATATGTAGGCGACGTAATCTTTAAGCTTCTTAACTCTGCTTTAATGCACAGCATATCAATTTAATGAAATACTGTGAATCTGATTTTTTAAAATTCATGTTGGCAGGATTTTCATGAGTTGTGTATAGTCTATATATGTTGTGTATGTTATAGTCTGTGGTTTTAATGAAAAAACAAAATCCATGGACTTTTTGGCGGGAACGCGAGGAGTGAAGTTGTGTGATTTGTTTTATTTTGTCTATTTAGTGTTTCTTCAGGTTTAAATGTGTAATAGCGGTGGTTTATTTACTGTTTAATATCTGTGAAAGTGGGAAAATAAAACAAAGCCGCTGGACGTAACTTCTCGGGTTCCTACAAAAAGTCCACTGAAAAAATCTCAGTAAATGACCACCATTTTACTGAGATTGTGTTTCATCCCATATCATCATCATTTAATTTCATCCCAGTTGAATAATGTCTCAAATTAATCATATTAATATCATTTCACTCAATTTTATCATTTTTCATAAAAATAAGAATAAAAACTAACATGACATGACTTAAAGGTC